ACATTGCTATTGATGACAAACTTAATAAAGCCCGATAGGGCTTTTTGTAAGTTTGTCAGCAATAAAAATGTGTGTTATAGGACCGCACCATAACAATATTTGCTAAAATATCCATGTTTTCTTTTACATTTGTCAACACCTCGTAGCGTAGTTACGCTTTGTTAATAATTCAGTCTTGACAATAGTGAAATTGATGACGGTACAATAACAAATGTCACAGTCTCATAACAACATTTGCATTCTCAGCGCATTGCAATGGAAGGATGCACGGCAAATGAAACAAAAAATGGATTATATAGACACAAGCTTAATACAATATACATCTGTCGCCTACAATTGTGTAATGAAAAGTCATATACCAAGTTCGGGATTTCCCCTCGTTTGCAAATATGATGTAAAATTCTATGATGGCTATTCTGAACAGAATAATAATCAGAAAAAAATGCTTGACATTGATTCTTTTTTGTCAATAATAGTTTCTTTTGAATTGTTGTCAATTTAGATGATGATAAACCTTTCGTATTCCCTTCATGAATAGGTACATTTCTCATTTCTAACTTTCAACGTTAGAAATAGGATATCTGCCTTACATAGTTCTAGGATCACAGGTGTTGACGCCTTTATTCAACACAAACACATACTGTTTCCAAGGCCAACACAAAATTCTACCTAATTATCTTGTACGTTTTGCATTCTACCTATTCATTTTTTGCTTGTCCCGAATCTTCAGACAGAGGTATATCGTGATCCGGTAGTTTTGTGTATTACAGCCCTACTCTATACGCAACAGACAAAAACATAGATAATTGTGACACTTTCAGTTATTACACAAGCCAGGGAGACGGGAAGCACGTGTACAGCCATTTCCTGGCACGCTAACAAGCGCGCACATTTGTGTACCATACATAACGGATACATATAACGAAGCTGATAGGTATCTAGCTGGTCATTATCTGGAGTTATCTCCCCATCGATAACAGATGACGTCGCTCTCCATTTGGATTACATCCAGATAAGAACATTACTTGGCAACAGTGAGGGTTAACCTAGTGTTTGTGAATGTCATGTTTCCAAAAATTAGTGGGTTTTTTTAAATTTAAGGATGACTCCAGAGGAAATATCCTAAAAGTCCGAAGAAAATGTTGATAATGATAAAAATGAAAAAGGTGGGTGGCCGTTTAGCTTGTCACAACGACGTCCTTATATACTTTCGATTTACCATTGCATCTATTGCCAGTTCTTGTCAAATATTTGCTATGATGAATCGAGATATCAGCTTATATGAGATGCAATCGATAAAACAGTTTCGAAAAGATGACAAGTGTAACTAGCCGACTTTCGGTTGTAATTTTGAACTTTGTGGCGTGAAAACAAGAATCCGTAACAACCAGTTCGTACCAACAATAGCCCGCTCAGACGTCATTAAAGGTCCGCACTAAATACGGTCACGTGATCTCTCTGTTTTTAGGGAACATATGACAGGGGGACGAGTGACATAAGACAACAAACTAATGGCTTGTAGCAATATATATATGACACCCAGGTATTGTTACAACCATTTGGCAGTACTCAAACATCTCACACACTTAATGGAGCTAATGTGATAACAGTCGATATATTGCCCGCACATCCACTCGGTAAACAACAACATTACCTCTGCCCTTCACCCACGCTTTACTGTCTGTTTGACTTGTGTGGTTTTTTCTGTGTTAATCAATGGATATTTACGATAATGTCACAAGCCATACCTCATTCAATTGAATCTAAACGGATCTTTGAAGTGAAAATCAAGAAAAGTCAAAACAAATAAGCTAAAATCGTATTTGAAAAAGAAACTTCCTACCACTAGGAATATCAAAGATAGCGTATGCAGTCGTCAGAATTAGCGGACAAGGGGAAAAGACGATACAGTATATGTTTATTTGATGTAAATAAAGCAAAAATAGAGTTATGGGGAGTTCCTGAAGCGACCAATTACAATCATTTAATGAGACTGTGGTTTGTAAAATGTTGTCAAATATTTAAGGAATCAACACAAAAATTCCACGAAAAATGTGTAAATGACAGCACGTGTAAAGTTGGCACAAGGGGTTATGGAAATGCTTATTTCACATTTCATTATTTACTAAGTTACTGCTGGCTTCCTGTTGTGTGCCAGGTTGGTTTGGCATGGTGTATACACGTGTCTGTAATGAAACAGACATCTGTTATCTATATCACACCCTTGTCATCAACAGTGACACTCACTCTCTCCGTAACACGCACGTGTTCTTCCTGTCATGTTCAGATTATGCCATCTTAAAATGGCCATTGAGTTGCCAAATCATCTTAGTAAACTGTCGTCGTATGTGACTTTTCCTATAGAGCGGCTTTATCTCCAGTTGAAACCGTCGTAATATCACTCATACAGGTCGGGGAATGAGAACAGAATGTATCGGTTATTGTAAGAACCGACTAATTGGGAAACCCCTGGGGATTTACTTTTTTGTCCTTTTCTTGGGGACACAAAGGTGACCCAAGTAAATCTGCTGAGTCATTTGCAGTATTTGGGAACTATACGTCCATTTTCTCTATGTTACCTAACATTTTTTTAACGCCTAGCGCCTTCCTTTGGAATATATCACTTCTGGTCTTATAGTGTTGAACGCTCGCTCAAGTAAAAGGTAGGAAATGGGTTCTGTTTCCAGGCGGGACATACCAAAATCCTTAAAACTGTAGTTGCTGTTCCCTGTTGAACGTTCAGCATTTAGGATAATGACATTAACTGGTTCACCTGTTGTTATTATATGTGATTGGGTAGAATACTTTACTGGCTCCTTCAGCACGGTATTTCAGTGGGGTGCATGTAGTACTCTAAAGTCGGCATCAGATCCGCGCTATCACAAGGAGGCAAGTACACCAACATACCCTGTCTCTGGCTCGCAAACACACATGCAGGCACGTCCTTAAATGACCTTAGCTGTTAATAGGGCGAGTAACCCTTAAAAACAATCCAAACCAAAATATGTCAATCGATTTGGATGATATAAAAAAATTCTTGTATACCTTGTATTGATTTTCACAATGTCAACACCTCGTAGCGAATATGGAATTATTCATGATTTGACAAATGCATGCTACGTCATGTTTTATTTAGTACTGCTGTTGAACTATTCGTGGTAAGTTTCGTATTGGTACACTGGTATAAAAGAGACTGCAATCGATGAATTTAATTGTTTCGTTTGTTTTTATCGCGTTTGCTTTTTCTGTATTATGACTCGCTGTTTTAATGGGTATTTAGAAACCCCGTACAACAGGTGACTAAATAAGCGAAGCTCTAATGTAATAGCGTACAGTCATATCAGATACATCAATACTTAGTTAGTAATCAGAAGGAAAAAAACTCCCATGAAAAAGCGATATGGATATGAAATATTTATTTCATATCAAATGAAAATAGTGGTGTCAGTTGTACGGTCGCTGTCATGACAACCGTGTCTGTTGTTAAGTGCAGTTTCCCTGATACTGTACACCTCGATGCTGTCTACTTAACCAGCATGTGATACTTAATAAGAAACATTCTTCAAGGATGACTCCAGATATGGAAACTGACTTTAGTAAGAAATTATCATTCATCTTGATGCTTTGAGTGTAATTATATTCGTATTCCCATTGTCTAGCTGAATGTTTTTTGTCTCGCCCTGTCGTTTAATGAAAATCACACTCTGATTTAGATTGTAATGAATTTTTTTTTCACTAACAAAACTTCTACAAAATGTGTCCAAACGCTATAACCCCTGTGTGTTACATTGGTATACACCATAGGCATAATGGTAGAACTTTTCATCATATTGGGTTTTTTTTGTTTTCTCTCCATTTGTAATAAAACGAGTTACACGTATTAAATTTTCAATACTTAATCAATACCACCACAATTCTAGTCCACAATACACATTTATCTTCCTAAAATTGTTTTAATCAACAAAAGAGAGACAAATTTTACAAATAATTATGCAAAATGTGACATAGGTGATTGGAATATCTGTCCCTCCATAAGTAGGTCAATACATGTACACATTTGTAACACACATCCCCAGAATGCAGACACTCTCCTCACCGACATATCTAAAATACTACCATGCGTAGGATTGTCATCGAGTTGGAATCCGGTGGAGCCTCCTTCGGATTACCTCGCCATATTGATATTCGGCTCAGATGTTCCGAATGTCTTATAGACTATTACAGGGTCTAGTGGATTGGTGTGCACGCCATCTGTAGCACCAATTACTCATCGGCCATCGCACGTGCAGAACCCTGCCAGGGAATACAGACCTAGTGTTACTAATAAACTACTTAGCCATTAATTAGTATCTCATGTTATACCTCTGTAACATGCCAATGTTCCTTTATATCCAACAAAACACAGTACTGAGGTATGGTTCATGCCGATCGTATCCACCTGGTTTGTGATTTTAATTATTTATTATTAAACATAGAGGCTTAATTCTGTGTTTCATAACGAAAGACGCAGCTATCCAATAAGACGATATTGGTATTTGAGTATTTTGGGTTTTAATTGTTGTCTGCTGAGACGATCTTCCTATTAACACTTTCGTTGGTCATAATACTTGTTTCAACGTTAAACATGTTTCAGATATAGAGTTCTCACAGATACTGTTTCATCCGAAATATCAAAATACATAATTTTACGTTGTAAGTACATATCACTGGATTGCAGTTATGAGGGTTTGGATAGGGGAGGAGGAAGAGGAGAGGAAGAGGGAGGATGGGGGGGCAATCTGTACAACATCAGGACAATAAGGGTTTACACTACATATATATATGTGTGTGTGTGTGTGTATGTGTTTGTTTAAAAAAAAAAAAAAATTGGGGGGGGGGGGCGGCAAGATGTCGTGCAAAGATAATTTTTCAATATCACGGTTACAGAGGGGTACAAGAGTTATATAATTTGTGTAAGTAACAGAGAGAAAGAGATTCTGGATTCTGTTCTGTTGTTTCAGGGGTCTTTACGAGCCCAGGACAAGGCCCTTCTGTCCTCGTTAAGTCGGTGTCAGGACACGATAGAGGACATAAAGAAACAGAGGACGGTCCTCAACGAAAATGACGAGGACGACTTAGAGGAGGACGAAGAGGAGGACGAGGATCACTGGGAGGACTGGGAGATAGCAGGTGCGCATGCGTGGAAGAATTACTGAATATTAGTTTGCACACCGTTAAAACGACCAAACAGGATGTTTCCGTGCGAAAATTCAATCGATATATATCATTTCACACAAATAATTTAGTAAATGCATTGGCGTGCTAGGTCTTAATCTAGCTTACTGCTGTTGTGTTCAATTTACACGATTTGAATTGAAAATTCAAACGAACTTTCATGTCAAAACGAATAAAGTAACAGTAACATACCTTTATAGTGAATCGACACACCCGGTTAAGCCAGAATAGAGTTATTTATCATTATTCTAGTCATGATCTTAACAATGTTCTTTCAATGTTGTTATTTATAGAAAATCGTAAACTTCCTTCATGCATGGAAATAAACCATAATGCTTTAATTTTTCTAAATAATATGAAAAATACGACCAAATATTAGCCGGAACACAGTCTGTCATGTTAAATGAGCAGTGTTTTGTTTCAAATCGTAGGAAATTATTGGGTAGTCAGTAAAATCAAATGTCTCGTAAATGCACTAACTTAAACGCATCGAAAAAGGGTTTTAGTTCCAAAAAGCAACAGTACTACACTTGAACTGAATTGCCTCCCTTGATCATATTTCTTCCTTTGATTTCACGTTATTCATAAAAACTTTTATACATATATCTTGTTTTATTTATTTGATTTTTATCATTTTTTGTAGAGTTTGATAGACAATGTCGAGAAAAAGATGCGTTAAACAAGCTGAAGCCATCCACCGGAACCGGAAGTAGTAATATGACGCGATTAAGCGGAAGTGGATTTCCCATCAGACAGGATGTACAAGCTGTTGTATAGCAAAAAGCCGCTCTTGTGTTCCGCTGTGCCATGCAATGCTAGTTAAAACTATTTATACAAACCTGCTTATTTGATTACGGAAATTACCCATACGTGTCATACGCATGCGTACACGGAGTTCTGTTCCATGATTGATAAGAAAGTGAGGATTATTCGAGATGGTTTTACCATGGAGAGTGTGTGTATAAACATAAAGAATTGAAGGAATACCGCAAAATGCATGAGATTATCAAGCTTACCTCATCATGTGGTCCTTTATACATTTGTGTGATTGCGGACCGATAATTCTGCAAAGTTCGTCCCTATTGAGAAAAGTCAATGGAATGTTTCTTTAGAGCAGCCATAGAATTACATAAATATTAGTCTAGCATTTGTTTTAAATGAATGTGCTTTTTATGTACATTAAAATGGATAATGCGAAACAGAAAAAAACGATAATTTAATTGACAGAAGGATGTTTCCAAAAGCGTAATTTATAAAATTATGTGATCAGGGAATTTTCGATTTTAATTAATGTTATTTTTATTTATTTAATTGAATGTTAATCGATATATTTTCATTCTGATCTCAAAAAGTACTTTATCAATCGGTACCGGAAGTTGATTACAACGTCAAATTCCTGCCCGGTTGGCGGTCCTGGCAATCCGGAAATATTCCTGCATGACAACCTTGCCTGATGATTATAATGAACGTGATGTCAGAGACAAATCATCACATTGTATGCAAACAACCCCGCCATCAGACGTGACGTCATTGTGCCAAACCAGCAGTACTGACCCAGTACTGGTGTAACATACCCAACTCATTCCTTGATTATAGTTAATGTTTGTATGACCTGCCGCTAAATTAACTCCTGACTTTTAACACGAAAAAAAGTCACATTAAAATAAAATAAATACTCAGCTATGTCGTGTGATGACCTTGTTGTGTTTTATGTGACAAACATTCTAGGTGGTGCGGACTAGGCCAATCTTTTTGTTTGAGTTACCCCCCTTGCCACGTGTATAGTGTTGCTCAGAAGAAAAACAAATACTGATGCCGAACTGGAGTATGGAGAAAAATGTTCAATTAACCATAGGTTTATCGACGATGTTCATTTTAGAAATATTTTAGTTAATCAATGAGTGTTAAAATCACATTTGAAGAGATTACTTCAGGGAAGAAACTCGTATATTTGGAAGACATGTCAATATTTCATTTTTTTCTGAAATGCATTTAAACAAAACTTGTATCTTGTTTATCCCACCTGGCCACTGTGAAGCAATCTAGTCGTCGATTTATCGACATGATGCAGTTCGTCGGCGGATGTCGTAATGTGTTCGTAAAATCATAGCAATAATACCGTATTTAACAGCATTTTAATAAAATCGGGATACAGGTTACTTCGTTTGATAGTAAACCCAACTTCTACACTTGAAACAATTAGGCGTCTTAAAAAGTAAAACACTTAATTCTCTCATGTTCATATTTTTCGTCCGAGCTCCAAAACAATGATATTAATGAATTATCACGCTGTGTTTTCAGGGTCTGTCGCGGTCGTTCTAAACCTCTTGATTATTCTCATATTCACAATCAATGGAAATGAATCCATCGTGCTATCGATAGGTGGAATAACGTAGTATATAGCTGATCATTGTAACTCTCTCACGGTGAGGTTTTGTAGACGCAGATAAACTTCAATAGCCCAGCAGAAAATATAACAAAAATATATATCAAAAATACGAAACACATTTTATTGCTTAAATTGCACACATATATAACAGAAAGTAGAAATTATCTTTGTATCGATATCAGTGTAATGTATGGATATGTTGATTTATCGATACCCGTTTGAGGTATCGATGTCTGTTTGACATATCGGTATATGTGTGATGTATCGATATCTGGGCATTGTATCGATATCTGGGCATTGTATCGATATAGTTGTGATTTACATGGGTTTCCATTCAACCGGCATCCTCTCCCACCACATATTTTAATTGTATAACAATAATACATGCGTTCCTGTTTTGGTTAAGTATAGAGGTTTCTGTGCTTCAGTAACTGAGCCGTTGGAAATACGGAGTCATAACGAGTAGACCACAGTACACACGCACAAATATCTCCAGCTACTTACTAGGGTATGCTGGTTCTCCTATACTAAAAGAAAGCTATGCAAAACAAAAAGGATCTGCTGGTGGCGAACAGGGCTGGACATGTTGAACGAAAATCCATAGCGATACCGCGTCACATAAATCAAAGTTATCTACACTTATAATACACAGGGCAAACCTTTAAGTACAAACTTGTATACAAAAGACTTTGGGTAATGCGAATAACGGTTTAATAAAACACGCAAACACTTATATATTTATACATATACTGCGTTCTCCTATGGTATATACATTTACACCTTACTACACAGGCCAAATTTCTTTATGTAAATTTTAGTTTTAACTGTTCCTGAATGTAAATTTTCCTCACATGACGATCGCATGACGGTGGCTTTTGCTAAAACAAAATGTTCAACATACATGGCTCCATTGACCCATTGAGAGATGTGTATCCAATGGCTCCAGAACCAGGAAGTACGGGGGAGGTCAGGAACTATTTTACTGCCTACCTGCCTTGTTAGAACTCTGTGCTATCAAAATAATTGAAAAAGATGGCAAAAAATAATCGGAATCTGACCTGACATCAACATTATTCTCAGGTCGAATCTAGGTCAATTTTTGACCTGTAATCGAATTTTGTCTGTGTACGTCCTTGATAAAACACATTTCTCATATTGATATCATTCTCATGTAGGGCATGCAATATTTTTTAAGTACATCACACGATAGAATGTTAAAATAACATACATATGCTTAAAAAGTAAAATATAAAAATCAGTTGTGATATATTCCAGGTGAAATTATGAACTTGCTATGTAGTCCATTAAGGTGCGACAATTTGTTGAACAGCGTCTGTGTTTTAGATTAAAAATCAACGTATTTTATATGATTGTATAATATAAAGACTGTATGCTATTCGATAAAAAGTAATTTATGTAGATATGTAAATACTACATTATCGGAAGGAATAACCTCTATCACAAATTCTATTGTTTTGTAATGAATTATTCGGTTTACGTGTAATGGAGATGAACGCTATTGACGCGCGTGAAATAGGATGGAATTTTGATACATGCGTAAATTTGATGGAAGTTTGATACACGTGTGAATGGGATGCAAGTTTGTTACACGTGTAAATGGGATGCAAGTTTGATCATATGTAAATGGGATGTAAGTTTGATACACGTGTAAATGGGATGTAAGTTTGATACACGCGTAAATGGGATGGAAGCGCGTGTATTGGGGATGAACGTTATTGAAGCATTTCCAGAAATATAAAAAAGCAAACACGAATATCACGATTGCTTATAGCATAGAAATGACAACCAATCCTGGACCGTAGCATGTCACATGACATGTGCGTACAAATCAGTTCCGGTCATTGCGGTCACTAAAAACAACACAATGACGATGCTAGACACTTGTCCTCGGAATGCTGGTAAAAAATATCACAGATCTGACCCAAAAAGGTTATCGGCCAAACAGCTAGGCCTGTCTGTTTACCTGCATGTTGTTTATCCATGTTATTTCTTATTTGTATCCATTGTTTGTCACAAGAATAGCACTACAGTGCTAATGTTTATTATCTTAAATATGCGACGTTAAATAAACATTCTTGTATCTTGTCCCGATAGGTTTTATGCATGTTCTTCCGCTGATACAGATGCTACGTGTGTCTGTCCACTGAAACATACGTCGCGTCCGTGTTTAAAGTGGAACAGGTATCCCGTCCGTCCTATGAGACATGTGTAACGTCCGTGTGTAAAGTGGAACAGGTATCTCGTCCGTCCTATGATACATGTGTTACGTCCGTGTGTAAAGTGGAACAGGTATCTCGTCCGTCCTATGAGACATGTGTTACGTCCGTGTGTAAAGTGGAACAGGTATCTCATCCGTCCTATAAGACATGTGTTACGTCCGTGTGTAAAGTGGAACAGGTATCTCATCCGACCTATAAGACATGTGTTACGTCCGTGTGGAAAGTGGAACAGGTATCTCGTCCGTCCTATGAGACATGCGTCGCGTCCGTGTGTAAAGTGGAACAGGTATCTCGTCCGTCCTATGAGACATGTGTTACGTCCGTGTGTAAAGTGGAACAGGTATCTCGTCCGTCCTTTGAGACATGTGTTACGTCCGTTTTTTCATTGAGACAGTTGCTATGTCCGTCTGTCCAGAGACATATGTTACGTCTGCCCCTTGCTGTGGCCACATATACACGACAGGATACATATACACACACACGCTGCGCCACAGAAGATGTAAAACGACGTTATACTCCAGTAAGCGAAGTAGTAGAGGGTTGGGTGGCAATAGTTGGCTGAGAGAGGATCAGACACCCACACAGAATGTGTCCCGTACACCCACCGGTTACCTACAACACAAAACAAAATATTTAAATACAAATTGAAATATTAAATAGTTTGGCCAGTGTCTGATACAAATAGGGCTTAAGGTGAAGGGAAATTATAACCAAGAAGAAGATGCCCACTTCGGAGCTGTATTCTCCCTTAGAAATAAAGTAAATCAAAAGGCAATCGGGAATCGTCGGTTATTCCGTAAACGACGGTTCAACAGATTTGCTTTGGTTTAGAGTTACTTCCCTTTGGATTATTTTTTTCATTTTCATACAATGATAATTACATTCCCTGTTATTAAGCAACAATGGTTAAGCGTAGAAGTCTAACAAAATCGAAACCATGTGACACAGAAAACAATCTAAACTGCACGAGCAAAACATGTCTCCCACACATCGAACTGCAATGAACAAAACACTTGACAAAGTGTTTAGTATCCCTCCTTAAGGACCCCCGTCACAATGCCAACTATAACTACATACTGGAAACTGTTTTCCGGCATGACGATAACTTTGGTAAATCACTTCTGAAAGAAAACCACCCCCTGAGGGATTTTTATAAAAATAAAATAAAAAATGAAACAAACACAATATATTACAAACAACAGTGTTCTGAGTAGTGTAAAAGATCAGCAATGCTCAACCGGGATTCAAACCCAGGTCTTCAGATTGTTATACTATCGCTCTAACCGACTGAGCAACCTGGTCAATGGAAGTGTCCTGGCCCGACTGTGCTCATATACGATCAACCAAAGTCCAGTGGAACAGGGATTCTGAAGTACGAACCGGTATATCCCGGCGAGTTATTATAGACGTGTACGTGTACTCACTATTTATCATGTTATGTATATGTTTTTCTAACTGCGCTTCATTTGCACGTATGATGCGTACCTAGTATAAACCAGACTAGGAGAAAGACGTTGAGGACCTGATCAAATCCGTTCGTTCGTTTGATATGACCTTCCTCATTCTCGAACTGCCGGTTATGGATATTCTGACCAAGGATGGACAGGAACTTGACAAGACATGCTGCGCCTATTACCACCAAGTACACGGGGACGTACTTAGCGACTGGACAGTCGTTTATATATACCGCACCTGTAAGGAAAACAACATGTAAAGTTAAATTTTAAATCTAAATTTTATTGCATTTTCCATCCAAACAATAAACATTCAAAGGATCGAACTTCAAATGAACAAAACAAGAAAAAAGCAATACATTAGTATTATTATGAACTTAGGTACATAGCCAGACAGACAGACTATTGTAAGTACAAGAGAAAAAGAAACGTACCTCGTCCACTTTTTGTGTTACAAGTATTACAAAAGACGGATTTATGCCGTTAAAGGATGTAAAATGTGCACTAATTTCGCAGTAAAAAATGGTCAAACAGGGACGATCTAACTGAATTTACTCATCCGAGGAGTTATCAAACTTGAGTTTATGTTCGATCGAAATCCTTAATGAAAAATTTGTAGTATATCCAAAATGCAGGACAAACATGTCTAAATCTATATACTTACCGATGACTATTTCCGCCACTGGTAATGCTGAGAGGACGGCCATAACAATCAAACAGAAGGCTGGAAAACATAAGTAGCATACGGTTACTGTATCACGATATTATGTATTGGCAATGATATAACTCAGGGATATGTTCATGTTACTGTGAGTTACCGTCAGAACATCATATCAAACCTGTACACGGACGCTACTTTTTCATCAAAATATGTAACAAGTCCCTGTGTTCCCAAGAATGAGTTTGAAACCATTACATACTAGATGACCGGAAGTATATACATATACAGTCAGTACACACATACACATGACGAATACACTTTTCTAGGAACTACACTTTTTTTGTATAGGAAGTACACACATTTAAAGGAGGAACGTTCACACGAACATGTACGTACTTCACCTTCTACATCAACACTACCATGGTATGTGTAGAATATCCTATATAGCTATAGAGATATGGATGTGCAGGAAGTAAAAAAACATTCAAAGGAAGTACACACATTTCCACGAAAGCTAACACATTTTCAGGAAAGTACACACATTCACAGGAAGTACACACGCGCGCAGGAAGTACACATATCACAGGAAGTACACACATTCACAGAAAGTACACACATTCACATGAGCTACACACATTCACATGAGCTACACACATTCACAGGAAGTACACACACTCACAGGAAGTACACAAGTACAAGCACAGGAAGTTCGTGTTTTTGAAGTTAGTACACACCGCCTTTTACAGACCTCAACTTACTTCATTAGAGTTTTACTAATTTCAACTTAAGTTTTACTTTCTAAGTCTCCACTATGATGACGTTCGAGAGAGAAAAAAACATGACGCATTTACCATAGGTAGAACTCTCACACCAGCCGGTAAAACATTCTACTCACCAGAGGAGGTGATTAGTTCTTTCACCTGAGCCAGGAGAAAAGTCAAATCTCCTGATCCGAGGATTATTCAACTCACCTGAGCTAAGGAAAACTCCACATAGTTTGCTACACAGAGCAAAACTGGAGTTGGACGACTGTTGTGCGGCCTTCACCCGGCCGAACAGGGATTCGTACGACGGCGGGGGTTCTGAGGAATAAATTAAACGATATAAACTCATATGGGACGTTGCGATTCTAAAGGACAAATCATAAGACAACTCATGGAATTGTGAAAAGAACATATACCCGCTGCTACCCACTGTATGCTGTAAGAAGCAAACAATTGGGAACCCCTTGTTAACCTGGAGATCTACTTTTGTGTAACTCTGCTGCACATTTGCAACATTTTGGATCTTTATATTTCTTTTAGTTTCTAGCAACATTTTCGTTTCCGAACGCCTCACTTGGCAATTCCTCAATTTTGGTCTTAGCGTTGAGCTTTTGTCAAAGTGAGGAAGGTCACGGGTGCTGTTCCCCGGCCGGGACATACCAAAGTCCTTAACAATGTTCAAGTTATTCACTGCTTAACGTTCAGCATTTCTTGTCAACAGCGGGTTACCCCCATTGGGGAAATCTATTAAGCATAAAGGTTTTAACTTATCGTTGTTGACATTTTTATCAGCGCAATTGTAGAGATAAATGACATTTCCATACACGGATGGAAGATGACGTCACAGAGCAATGTTACTTGACGTCATAACTAGAAGATTGACAAATGAAATAACGTCCAGGGTGTTACCCATAAGTGGGTTACCAAACATGTTTACCAACTCCTAGCAGGTTTATCCAATGAATCGAGAGTGAGGTAACCTATAGTAGTTGCGGGAGAATATATAAATAAAAAAATCTATTTATAGAACGCGGTCAAGTTCCAAATACCGTTGTCTACAAAGGTTTATAAACCTGTTAAGTGACTACACAGACTAGTATTACGTGTCCTACCTAACATCCACGTAATCTAATAACCATCAGGTGACTAACATGACCCACCCTCACGTGACCTACCTGACCCAGCTTCCCGTCGGTAGTCTGGTACAGGTGGTAGGACATCACTAGAGACTACATGTATACCTGAAATACAAGTCACCCTGCTATAAAAATGGTGATTAGTTGTAATCAATTTGTGTTTTCTGTTAGGCGTATAGCTTATAAGATACAATATAGTACAAGTTCAATTTACGTGTCCAGCACATACATGCAAACTTCTAAAAGACCGTCAGTCCGTCCGTCCGTGTGTCTTTCTGTCTGTTTGTCTGAAACCATGAGTGAGTCCATTGCTTGTCTGTCTCTTTGTTTTCTCCCATATACATAAATTTGATATCATGTTACACCTAGCCATATTTCACTGTATAAATGATATTGTTTTACATAGTAAGTCCATAATGTCCATGCAGCTTGTGTCCAACCCTTTGCTGTAAGTATCCTCATGGCAATCAACTATGTGAAACTAATAAAGTTTAACAATTCAGAATACATTTAAAACATATAATGCAGTTATGACCAGCCAAATACATATGTACATGCCTGTTATACACAAAAACAGAGTGATTTTGTATTAAAAAATTGCATGTCAAAAGACAACTTCAGTTCCTATACATGCACATTGAGTAGAGCTGACCGAATAGAACCGTTTTAACTCAGAACTGTTATCAAACGTAAACTTACTTCTGTCATCTAAATTCGAAAAGTCAAGATGTTTAACATTATATTAAGTTAATCGTTATTGCACTTGAATGTCACCTACGCTAATTATGAAACACACAAAATGTAATACAGATTTCTTATTTGCACTTAGTAGGTCCTTCCTAAAAAAGGCGTTGTAGGATATATATCATAATGTTACATACTTATGTATAAGTATTACATTTACTAACAAGATAAAATAATTATAAGTTTATTGTATAGAGAGGCATAGCCTACACAAGTCCTCTCTTTACATTATTCAACAATATTTACATCTATCCCTTCTTCAGCTTAGTAAACTCTGACTGCGTATAAATAATTTTAGAGTATACACAGTGAAAACCAATCTCCACGCAGAGTTACGGTCCTTGCTCTCCCTTTAATTGAAAAGGAACGACAACTCTGGGTAGAGATTGAGTGAAAACAGGCTCGGCGGATTGTTACTTGATTCAAATATGGCGCCGTTCACGCTTCAGCGAGATAACAGTCCAATGCTTGGATCTTTCAGCATCTAGATCCATAGAACATGTTCGGGGTCCATTATGTCTAATTATACAACAAAAAGGTGCTGACAAACTTCTTATTCCATGGATGCACAATCAAAGTCTTTGCCGGCGGTAACGTCAACTATAGCGGCTTCGTTCGGACTGCGTCACTCCATAAGCAGTGTGTCAATGCGCGTACATGACGACCGTTGTTAATGAATAGAAAAGTTCGAAGGGCTTCTCACATTGCTTAATTTAAAATTTAAAAACCATAAAAGGGAAAAACTAGTGTTGTTCACAGCGTATTTTCTAAATTTACTCATATATCGTGGTAGATTCACTGGAACTATATTGCCCTAGCAACCAGGGCTACCATAGTTACCAACGTGGCAACTAGCTTCGACTTTTTTTTCTGCGTAGTGTAGCATTTTAACATGTTTTGTATGTAAATCTAAGGATTGACCTTTATTTTGAAGGCGTATACGGTGGAATGAGCGCAGCTGGCAACGAACATATTCTTTTTGGAGCGCTAACGCGCACAGACACATCATATTAAAGTACATACATATTAATATTATGTTTTTAACATAATACTGTGACGGTGTAAGATGGAGATGGGACAATATATCTATCATTACTATCATTGTTTAAGAGGGAATGTCAATATATCCGTCTGATTGTCTAATACGGGCTGGAGGCCAGAACTGACCAATTGTCCTCGTACGATTCTGTGTTGGGACCATTCCAGACCGTTGACCAACAGTCCAAGACATGCAACAATTAAACATCAAGTTAATGGAAACTGATAGAAACGTCACGTGACCCTGTAACAACACTTACCTTCGTTATTATCAGGTAGGTAATGGTGTGATGGCGGAGGGACGTTGTTTACGGGCGGTACGTGTACACCTGGAGAAACAGTGATGACGTCAACAATATCAATTCACTTTTGTGTTAGTAAAACCTCAATAACAAACATTTTAGCGTGTTATCTACATTCTGGTAGAACTAGCTCCACGACTTTGACAAATTATTACAAATATTTAAATTACAGGTTTGTGAAAGGATATTTTTTCAAACCAATATAAAAGAACAATATTTTGCATAACTACGTATATATCTATGTTGCGTTGGATATAAAGAAGTAAAAATAAAGCGACATCTTCAATATTGACGAAACGTGCGCAGTTGATTTTGACGCCAGGTAATAAAAAGGTAGCGCTTGTCTCGACACAACCACAGGGACCTGATAATTTGTTACGGTCTAGTTATTTTAGTCTAGTACTTTAATCGTTTTTTCATCGAAAGTAGAAGCCTAAAGAACACATCCGTGTAGGTCCAAATATAGCTATAGCAAATATTCCTGTCCCTGTGATCATAACAAGGTTATTGACTGGACAGACACGATTTCCCGATCTAAGACCTTCTGATAGTCGGGTGGCGATTCCTCGACCTGACGTGAAAAGGAATGCAGGCACGTGTGTTTTCTCCGGGTACTCCGGTATCCTCCCACATTAAGACCCCTGCGCTAACATCCGGGCTAACAAGAGTGATTAATATAAGTTGAAATAACTTGTTTCATAATTGTTGTAAAATGAATAAAGTTTGTATTTCTATATGACCGTCTGCGTGCCGACAAGTTTGATAAAAATAAGTTGAAATCTTGTTTCATAATGGTTGTTATATAAATATAGTTCATATTTATTTATCTCCCGCCTTTTCAAGATAGGAACAATACAGTGAGCAGTCCAAATGACAGAAAGCATCTATATTTCACCCTTGTGTGTGTCTAGTTTTTCGCTCGTGATTTAAACTCGTGTCGTACACATGTATGCAGCGGGAATTATTGCGTGCGTGATGCCCCGAATACGGGCAATAAAATGGTACACTTCAGTAAAGATTAAAAAGAATACACATCTTATATATTTATCTTCAGGAGTGATTATATACGGAGATAATATTTTTAGTTTGAAAATCATAACCCGCCTTTGTGTCACATTAATATGTGTCATCTTATTACTAAACAATGTTACTGTGACGTCACATTGGGTATTACGTATGGGTGACGTCACATTGGGTGTTATGTACGGGAGATTTCTGTGATAATGTCATATGATAGGGGAAACCCAGTCGCTTACAGATGTAATAAAACAAAATATTTTTGCAACACTCATCGTACAAATATTTGTAGATTTCTTTTAACACACTAGGAAGATAGTTTGTTAATATATTATGCGAAAATTAAAATCATGAATTTCACCAAAACAAACCCTACATTTGTATGTTAAGTCCGTATTTGAGTCATCCTACATACTCCAGGAGTTACGCTCACTTACGTTCTCTGTACCCCTGGAATATGTCATAGCAAAACCGAAGGCTCAGTGTGCGACACCTTTGTATGAGACGTACATCAAAATAATCGCTCGGTTGCGTAACGGTAAACATTACTGGCTTTAAAATCAGGTGTCGTTTCACTGTAATCTTCAAAGGCCCATGTATCAGCCTAGAGATTGGTCAGGTTTTTCTTAATCAAATTTCTTGCCGCGTGCCTACAAATCAGCTTTGACAGTATCGAGGACGTATTTGGGCGTTATTCATTGCAAATGAATCTTGTATAAATTTCCATTTCACTAAAATTTCACCATCTTCGCGCTCTTTTTATTCCAGCCGTCATTTCATGATCATGTTATGACATTATGATAAGTCATATTGCATTAATTGATATAAGTATGACTTGGGCGTATTTACAAAAAAATAGATTATCCCATGCAATCATACAGTCGTATCAGGTCGGTTACAGCAGGATTATTTTATTGTAAGTTAACTGAACAGTTTACATCGAATTTGAACCCAATCGTTTAATTCACAGGGTAATTTAGATGAACACCAGAAAACAAAACGGTGGGATGTGATAAATGATAAAAAAGATGTGATAAATGAACAATGTTAGCGCTGATGTGTTGCTCGCTGATACAAATTAATCGTTATCAGTATATTGTGGACTATAATAAACATGAAATAGGTGTATATCTACAATTATGTACTCTAATCATATTTTGGTGAATTTTCTATATTTAATTTTGTACCAATGACCATGTTAACAGGTAAAAGGGAATTCATCATTATACAAAATTGGACTTGTAAATAACCCACACTGTGCTTTTTTTTGTATCATAGAAAGGGAGACAATTACCCACGTTTTATGGGAATGCAGGGAAGTACAAAACTTTCTGAGCAAAAAAAAGGTTAAAAGGTATTTTAGCTTTTAATTCTTACTTAAGAATGGACATCGGAATGGTGTAAATGGGTTATTTTAACACGTGTACAATTTGATGTTTTACATATATGTATGATAACATGTGACACTTTAATAAATATATTTGAATTGAATTGTAAAATCTCACAGTAAACTTGCTTACCTTGGAGGACTGCAGACAGGTATTCCGGGGGAGGGGATATGTTATTAGGTGTTGTGACTATGGATGTGCCCGCGGGGTGGGGCGAGTATGGCGGGGGTTCTAGCATTTTGTTAACCTAAAACAAAAATAGAAACAGTTTATTACGTCAACCTCCTCAGAAATATGTGAACACGATTAAGGGTTGGTTGGGGGTTGGATGTTGGAGAATGGCTAGGGGTGAGGGTGGTCTTGGCCACAGGGACATGCTAATTTGTTACAGCTCTATTTGGACATAAACTAAGGTGTTCAGAGTAATTTTACATGTTTTAGGGGTTCAGATCGACTTTCGGTAAAAATGACACCCCAATGATCATATTTTTGAGAAGGGAGGAAAGCTCTAGATGTCTAGATTTCTTACATCAAAAAAAACATTTCTAGTTGATTTACGGGGAAAAGCTTAGTACCGTTGGAAAGATTGATCATTTTTCTTTTAAAAACCGCCTATATGCACGTAAAATGTATTCTCCTTCCGCAGACATAAACTCCATTTCCTCCAACAACGATATAAACCCCTAAAACATGTAAAAATACTCTGAACACCTTAGTTTATGTCCAAATACAGCTGTAACAAATTCTCAGGTCCCTGTGGTCTTGGCACTCTAGGTTTTAGAGCGTCATCTCACTGAAATAGTATGTATGGAGCGTGCTATCACGTGGTAAAGGGCAGGGGTGAGAAATATTTCCAATTCTGCAGAAGATATTTTTAAAGTCGTCAGATGCAATCATACAGTCGTTTCGTTTCGTTTCGTTTCTTTATTTGCTCATTTCACATCGAATTGGAATCCAGTCGTTTAATTCACAATTTAATTTGAATGAACATCGTACAACAATAGGTGGTACATTAAATCCAGAAATTACTCCGGTAAACTGCTCATTCATGACTTCATTACAAATACAGGGTTAACTGGGGTGTTCATTATACCAAAATAACATAATAGTTATTTATGAAATATTAGAAGGTTCTAGTACGTGGACAAAATGGTCATCTGAATACACAGCTGTATGTAGTGTATCAAGCGTCACCGTCATGATTGTATAACTGCCAAGGGTAAAGTTGATTGCGATCCAGATATTTGTCTATCGAGGCATAAGAGTCGTTTTATAATCACCAGTTTGATTTAACGTTTAGGGAATGAATACCATTTCTTCATTGTTACACACACTAAATGACCTTATGGTGTACTTGTATTTAACCAACTTACGTTCACTCCCTCATGAATATTGAAATGGTGATGTTCAATGTGTATATTACAGTCTACATTCATAGCTATTAGTGATCTAAATGTTAGTTTTCCCTATATTTGTGGCGTTGAAGTGACTGAATTGTCAGTGCAAACCGTATTACTGGAACAGTCTAGCGGTACATAAACGTTTCCCTCTAACGATGTTGTCACGTGAGACGAGGCGAGCGGGAGAATTGTCAACATTACATTGATTATGTAGCATTCATGGTGATTTTCGGTAACTCTAAGCATTATTGACATACATTTCTTTTGTAAGTAGTCAATACCTAAATATGACATACCAACAGCATAATATTTAGAAATAATATCATTGCGTTTTGATTCGCTTCAAAAACTAATCTTAACTGGCTGTAAGAAAAGAAGCTCCACCCAAATTCATACTGCAGTATGGGACTACCTTCAAACGCAAGGGTTTGCAGGTTTTACCTTGCTTCGACTTGCACAGTCGGTTTTACATCTTTTTTTCTAGACGCAAACATTAGCATGTTTGAGACAATTTGTTCGTATTCCTTATGCTGTTGGTAGTTTTAGAAAGTCTTCATTTTTAAATGTAAATTATAACAGTGAACCACTGTAGATTACACGCTTGATAAATAAGGATACCTCTCGATCATTTTCAAACACCTAACTGATTCAGATGGTGCAAAACGACAGTAGTAAAATTCATGGAACTTATCCCGAGATAAACAGCAAGTAACAAAACCACACCTATACCGGTAAAACCGGTATTCCAATGTCGTAACACGGTACGATATTCTTTTAGCATATTCCGATATACCGGTATATTGTGACAGCACTGATTTAATTATAATTCAAATAAGCCGTGATAAATTGTTGACCAATCCGTGGTCAAGTCTTGTTAATCCAATCACCACTTATCCGACTAGTTGCGTTATGGAACATACTAATAACTTCTTTACAATTTAATCCCAGTTTCAAAAAACAAATAACCTGATCGATATATCCGACTATAAGGACGTTATCTCAGGGACCTCAGAATCACTTATGATATGAATGTTTGGACTTATCCTGATAGGTAAAGGTCATAATTAGACATTCTATGTGTTTAGATCAACACTCGGTACCCCCACCCTCACTCCACTCCACCCCACTCACCCCAACCCACCGTGCGAGTGGTATTGGGTCATAGAGAGTTGCGTGTCTGTGGAGGTGGGGGAGGGGGAAGGAGAGGGCCGATCTTAACCAATGGAACGTCAGGTAATACTCCCCAAACAGAATAATTATTTCAAACAAACATCCTGTACGAGACACAGACAGGTCCATGTGTCCGTTATTTAGAACACCCATTATAGAACGATAAATACATCTACAGTACAATGCAATACATGTTTATAAAAATCACAACTCCGACAGTATCACCTGTGCTGAAGTTAGCATCTATAAAACGTGTCTAGCATACCTTATTCCACCCCGGTGTTACAGGTAAATCCATGTCTAAATCGTCCGTACACTGTACATGTAGCCCTATACAGGTAGTATATACCCCCTTACAGGTAGTACACACATATGCATTGTATTGTCGCTACGTAAAATTAACTTCGGTGTTAAAGGCATGCTATCCAAAAATGATTTAATGTACATAACATTTGTATACGTCGGCTATTTGATATATTCGGTATTGTAAATCGAGCCGAACATTATCAGCCAAATTGTATTTATTTTTGTGATATTTTTGTTTTCAGATCCAACGACAGCAAATAGGATCACTAACCAAGACAAAAAACCTCAAATTAAATGTGAGGAGGATTTTGAAAAGAAAATATTAATAATAAATATATATACCACAATGTCAATACACACATTGAAAAACATAAACCACTGGTTAAACCGACAATGAAAAATTGTACCATAGCGTCAATAGACGAACGACAAAATATATCATAGCTTCAATAGACAACGGACAAAATACATCACAGCGTCAATAGACAAAGACCAAATATACCACAGCGACAATAGACAACGGCAAAATATAGCAAAGCGTCAACTTAAAATTATTCAACAACGTTAACACACAAGGCCAAAATACCACATCATCAACACACAAGGACAATATACCACACCGTCAGCATACAATGACAAAATATGCTACAACGTTAACACAAAAGACAAAATATACCGTACCGTCAATACACAAGGACAAAATCTGCATAACTGTCAACACACAAGGACAAAATATACCACACCGTCAACACACAATGACAAAATATACTACAACGTTAACACAAAAGACAAAATATACCATACCGTCAATACACAAGGACAAAATATACATAACTGTCAACACACAAGGACAAAATATACCATAACGTCAACATACCAGGACAAAATATACCACACCGTCACCACACAAGGACAAAATATACCATACCGTCAATAAACAAGGACAAAATATACATAACTGTCAACACACAAGGACAAAATATGAATAACTGTCAACACACAAGGACAAAATATACCATAACGCCAACATACCAGGACAAAATATACCACACAGTCACCCCACAATGACAAAAAATGCAAAACTTTCAACACACAAGGACAAAATCTACCATAACGTCAACATACCAGGACAAAATATACCAATACCAGGACAAAATATACCACACCGTCACCACACAAGGACAAAATATGCTACAACGTTAACACAAAAGACAAAATATACCATACCGTCAATACACAAAGACAAAATATACCACAACGACACCACACAATGACAAAATATACTACAAGGTTAACACAAAAGACAACATATACCACACCGTCAACACACAAGGACAAAATATACAACAACGTCAACACACAAGGACAAAATATACCACAACGTCAACACACAAGATCAAAATATACCACAACGTCAACACACAAGGTCGAAATATACCACAACGTCAACACACAAGGACAAAATATACCACAACGTCAACACACTAGAACAAAATGCTTCATCGTCAACACACAAGGACAAAATAAACCACCTCGCCAATAGATATACCAAATATACTTCAACGTCAACACCTGTAGATAAGCTATATACCACAACGTCAACACCTGTAGGCAAGCTATATACCACAACGTCAACGCCTGTAGACATGCTATATACCACAACGTCAACCCCTGTAGGAAAGCTATATACCACAACGTCAACGCCTGTAGACATGCTATATACCACAACGTCAACACATTAGAACAAAATGCTTCATCGTAAACACACAAGGACAAAATATACCACAACGTCAATACATGTAGACAAGCTATATACCACAACGTCAACACCTGTAGACAAGCTATATATCACAGCGTCAACACCTGTAGGCAAGCTATATACCACAACGTCAATACATGTAGACAAGCTATATACCACCACGTCAACACCTGTAGACAAGCTATATATACCATACCGTCAATACACAAGGGCAAAATATACCACACGGTTAACACACAATGACAAAATATACTACAACGTTAACTCAAAAGACAAAATATACCAAACAGTCAGCACATAATGACAAAATATGCTACAATGTTAACACAAAAGACAAAATATACCAAACAGTCAGCACATAATGACAAAATATGCTACAATGTTAACACAAAAGACGAAATATACCACACCGTCAGCACACAATGACAAAATATACTACAAAGTTAACACAAAAGACAAAATATACCACAACGTCAATACATGTAGACAAGGTATATACCACCACGTCAACGCCTGTAGACAAGCTAAATACCACCACGTCAACGCCTGTAGACAAGCTATATATCACAGCGTCAACACCGGTAGACAAGCTATATATCACGGCGTCAACAC